TTTTTTATTTTTTGCGAAATTACTTAATGTATAGAATCAGTTAATTAAATTTGCTTTTTTTACTTTAACTTTGTCTTATTTTCAGTAAGTTTACATTTAATGAGTTTTTGGAGTTTTACTTTGTTTTTTTCTCGAAAATTGAGCATTTGATTTGACTTTTCGGAATATTATTTTGTATATTATATCAGATTTACCACAAATTTTACAAAATTTAACAAAATAATATAATATTAATTCCATTGTGTGGAGTCTTATTTTATTCAAATGTGCATATAAATTTATTTTATTTCGTTTTAAAATTTAATACAAACGTTAGAAATTATTCAAAGAACGAATTAAATTAGCTTCAAAACAATATTTTATTGCATATATTTGCATGAAAAGTTTTATATATAAATAAGTCAAAAATACTTTGTTTGAGAGTAAATAATATAGAATAATATTTCTTTAATAAATATTTTCTTTTATAATTATTTTTTTAATAAGTATTTTCTTTTATAATTATTTAAATTACTTATAAAAAGACTATAAAAGCAAATTTTCAGATAAATATATTGGAACATCTAAAGTTTGAGGATTTGCTACTGAATATTGTGGTGCCCGAAGCTAATAATAAAAGTGATCAGAGCAATTTACAACACAGAAATGTATGTTATTACTCTTATGTTACTATATTTAGTCTTAATACTTAATCGAAATACTTAATAATCCTTTTTAGTTTAGAATCGCAGTAAACTTTATTCTAATTGCTATTTCAAGTTCTTATTTTGAGGTTATTCATGTTTTGGTTAAAATTTAAATTGTTTTCAACGTAATTTGGCCCAGAAAATGAATGACATTTTCAAGTTTTATTAGTTTGCTATTTTAGATAATTAACATAAGCACTTAGAGGTTATATTTTCACATTTTATTCCATTTTTTAAATTAATGCTATTAAAGTGTGTTTTATTCAAGAAATTACTGATATCCCAAAGTGCAGTTTATTACAATTTATTTCATATCACTGAATTTAGTGGATTAGCCATTTGTTGATTATAGAAAGTAAGCATCGGTATTCAAGATAATATAATTATTGTACTAATAATTTAATAATTCCAAATATAATTAATTATAGAATGAAAAAAATGCGCATCCTGTAGATGGCGTGAGAAAAAAATCGAATACTTTATCAGTCATCAAAAAATCTTCAAGAAAATCTCGTCATACTAAGCGTAATATAGTAAGAAAAAAACCAAAAGGACGAAAAAAAGTTGCTAATTCTCGGAAATTTGCTGAAGGTTCGCTCATAAGACGATCACTTACACCATCACTTGATCCAAAATTATTACGTCAATTTGAGCAAGAAGATCGTCCCAAACGTGTTTTGCGTTCTGCAACTACTGTAACTTCTAATTCTGGTACTGACTGTAAAAATAATCATCGCGCTGATCGAAGTACTTCCATGAATGTCACTCATACTAAATACGCTCTGAAAGATTCAAATTTAAAATCGAAAAAATTTACCAGCGAGGTATTTACTGAAAAAAATACAGACTTTGTTAAATTGCTTGACCGGAATCAGATTCAGCGGAAACGTTCGTATTCTAAATCTGGCAACAAATCAGGAAAAGCTAAAAAACGATCAAGAGTTAGTTATTTGTAAATTTTTGCATGCTATTTATTTCAGTCAGCCATTTGCCTTTGTTATCATATATCAGGGATTCATTTGATTACACGCACGTTTTCTTCTGCTTATTATAATGGTTATTTGATAGACTATCTTTCAGAAGGTACTACGTGAGAATGATTCAGCGGTAGCAGATGTGATTGGTACATTATCAGATTCCTCTCCCCAATCAAATTTAAACGGTTTTTCAATTGCTTCCAATTCTTCGGATGTATTTAAGATTCTGAGTAGGGTGGGCAGACGATGTAGAATACCAGCAAAAACTCAAACTACGAGCATCAATTCGAACTGGAAATTAACTGGCAAAGCATGTCGAAAAACTGTTTACATTAACGTAAGTAAGCATTTTATCATATCTTTCTGAATTATGCAAATTTCATTGGTATATAATCTTTTTTAGTTTCTCTTTGCTTTTCTCGTAGATTTGCCAGATTGTTTTCTCATTTGTTATTTGAATTATGAGCCTTTTATTTAATTTCCATTTTTTGAAAATATATTTATAGTATAAGTAATCTTCAAGTAGGTAAATACTTAAGTAGAGAATAATAATCATTTTTTAAATACTTCATTGAAGTTAAGTAATAATATTTCTGATAAGTGATAGTAAAATTATCCACACGTAGTATTATTATATGGAAAAGTACTGATCATAATCATGATGCACATACAGGAGTGAATAATCATATTATTAGTAGTAATAGTAATGTTTATAGATCATAAAAATACTTAATGCAAAATTTTCCAGTCCTTTCACTCACTGCACTGCTCGCCTAAGCAGTTGTGCTATCCAGAAGCTGTACATTCTAAAACTGGCGATATTTTGCGATCACGTTATTGCGTACGTGTTAATTCTACTGACGGTGAACCAAATTTCGCTTACATTTGTCACTTGTTTAATGATCCTGATACAGGTTAAAATTTTTCACTAACTGTGAAATTTAGTTTGTTTAAATAAAGTATATCAACTGTAGATCGACAATTATAATACGTAAATAAACAAGAAAGTGACAGTAGCAATAGTAGTGTTAAGAAAATCTCAAAAAAAAAAAAGATTTGAAATGATAACCTGCAAAAATATAAGAGTTATAATAATTAACTTACTTATTTTTGTATTTTTACTCCCTACTTATCTCGACAGTTTTTGATAACTTATAAGTTTTTTGGTTATTTTTTCAAGTTTAATGGTTCGTGTTTGTAGCACGTACGCAATAACGTTTAATAGTAATTTAATGTGGAGTTTCAAACTTAAGGTGTGCCATCAGCAACAATACTGTGGTACTATACTGCAGTACAAATCAAAAGTGAAACTTCTTCAATGCCAAAGGCAGATGAACGTGAATTATTTGCGTCAAAACATATAGATATTATACCACTTGATGCTATTGATGAAATAGTGTATATACTAACGTTCAACGAGTACAACAGGTACGTTTAACCCACTTGTAGATGGACTAAATGTAGCATATTGTCAAGGAAATTATGTTTTTGAGTTAAAATTGGTTTGAATTCAAAAATTCAGATTCACGGTAATTCAAATCATAATAATAGTGATATTGACTGTGATAGTAACAGCAATAATGTTAATTATATTAGTTTATTTTTGAAATATAATGCATATTAGTTAATGCAAGGATTAAAAAGATTTCAGATTTATGGCCGAAACGACTAACGATGCATATCCACCATCGCAGCAAATATCTGAAGAAAGCTTACTCTGGAGGAAAGGTGAGGATAATTACCCTAGGCGAAAGCTTCTTCCGCGTGATGATACACCGCTTGAACTGGTAAGTTTTTTGTCAAAGCGTACCATGATAATATGATTATTAATAGTAGCAATAATGGTAATCGTAATGAGAGTAATAGTAGTAGATTCTTGTGCGTTAAGTATAAGTGTTGATTTTTGTTCAAAAAAAATTAGTGGAAGATACTAGCAGTTTTTAAGATTTCTG